AATATTCAGAGAACAGTAGCCACTAAGCCAAAAAAACACACAACCCCTTGGAGATTAAAAATAATAGGAGAGATAAAATTCAACAGAATGGTAGGAAGGTAAAGTTGAAAAAAATCTTCCAGGATAAAGCAAGAAGGCAAAAAGATATTGGATGAGAAGGGGGGTGGGGAGAGAGCAAGAGAAACTCAGGACCAATCTAAGAGGTGCAGCTGTTCCCAATCCTTTGTAGAGGACAAGACGGATGAGTTACTAGAAACACGATCGTGCGTTGCATGTCACAGCATGTTAAATTGCTATAAAAGTTTCTAGATACTTCTCAGTTTTGGTGTTCATCTCATCATGGAGGAGTAATGGTGTACAGACCAGCACAGGCCTGTAGAGATGCTGCTTCCATCTGTGTTTGTGTGTAACTTTGGTTTTAAAAAGGGACTTAAAAATAAGAAGGGTGTGCTCACTACTAGGATGGCTATAATAAAAAAATGGAAACTAAAAAGTGTTGGCAAGGTGGTGGAGAAATTAGAAGAGTTGTGCATTGCTGGTGGGAATGTAAAATGGTGCAGCTGCTGTGGAAAACAGTATGGAGGTTCCTCAAAAAGTTAACCATAAAATTACTATAGGATCAAGCAATTCCGCTCCTAGGTATTTACCCAAAAGAATTGAAAACAGGGACTCAAGCGGATATTTGTATGCCGATGTTTATTGCAGGATTACTCACAATAGCCAAAAAGTGGAAACAGCCCAAGTGAAAATCAGCAAATAAATGGATAAACAAAGTGTATGTAGTCATATGATAGATTATTACTCAGCCACAAATAGGAATGAAATTCTGATACATTCTACAACATGGATGAGCCTTGAAAACATTATATCAAGTGAAATAAGTCAGACCCAAAAGGACAAATATTGTATGTTTCCACTTATATGAAATATCTAGAATAGGCAAATTCATAGAGATGGAAAATAGGTTAGAGGGTACCTGGGGCTGGGGAGAGGTGGGAACAGAGAGTTAATGCTTTATCAGTGCAGCGTTTCTGTTTGGGGTGATGAACACATTTTGCAAATAGATAGCAGGGATGGTTAGACGATATTGTGTGTGTAATAAATGCCACTAATAATACACTTAACATGGTTAAAATGACGATTTTTATGTTATGTATATTTTATCACAATAAGAAACTTTAAAAGACCCTATGTCTAAAGTCTAAAATGGTTCTTTTATTTTTTTAACTTATCTTTATTGTTGAGAGTATTACAGGTGTCCCATTTTTCCCCCCCAATTGACCCCCTCCACCTCGCTCCCACCCCCTCCCCAGGCCTTCACCCCGTTATTAACTATGTCCATGGGTTATGCATATGTGCATATAACTTATTTGGTTAATCTCTTCCCACCCTCCACCCTCCTTCCCTCTTTCCTCTGAAATATGATCACCTGTTGCCTGCATCAATGTCTCTGGCTCTATTTAGTTCGTCAGATTCTTTTGTTCATTAGCNTATGCTTATATGCATATAACTTTTTTGGTTAATCTCTTCCCACCCTCCACCCTCCTTCCCTCTTTCCTCTGAAATATGATCACCTGTTGCC